TATATATATATATAGTATCATATGGTATTATATATCAGATCATATCTTGAGTATTATTTTAAAATTTATTTTAATATGATTTAAAATTGTGTCCATCTGTCCCTTCATTCAAATGCAAATTTTCAGAAAATACTAAAATTGCTTTTGCTTCTTTGTAGCTTTGTTCTGATCTAATTGGTCTCCTCTGCCAATTCATGTATTGTGCCTGCTTTCATCAATAAAGAATGTCCACTGAACATTTCCACAACCTAAGGTCTGTTATTGAAAATGACACATGGAAGTTTAAGTATGATTTATTATTCATGTTTGTTTTTCCTACTTACCTACAATAACAGCTAAACTTGTAAGAGAAGAAACATGAGGATGTCATGAGAGCCAGAAGTTCCACAATTTAATGTAGCAATAAATCTTGAGCTACCTGCAATATTATTGTGAACTTTTACAAAAAGACATTGAATGTAGGGTTATTTAAATGTTTTTTTAATTACTTAAATACAAAAGTACACTGCTCAAAAAAGTAAAGGGGAGACTCGAGCAACACATTCTAGATGTAAATTAATTAAATATTCTCATTGAATATTTTGTTCTGTACGAAGTTAAATGTGCTGAGAACAAGATCACACAAAAATCAATGGAAATCAAATGTATTAACCAACAGAGGCCTGGATTCGGAGTTGCACACAAAATAAAATTGGACAAATACACCACAGGCTGATCCAACTTTGATGTAATGTCCTTAAAACGGGTCAAAATGAGGCTCGGTATTGTGTGTGGCCTCCACGTGCCTGTATGACCTCCCTTCAATGCCTTGGCACGCTCCTGTTGAGGTGGCAGATAGTTTACTGAGGTATAGCCTCCCAGAGCTGAAAGCATCCACCAACTAATGGATAGTCTGTGGTGCAACGTGGCATTGGTGGATGGATCGAGACAAGATTTCCCAGATGTGCTCAATTGGATTCAGGTCTGGGGAACAGGCAAGCCAGTCCATTGCTTCAATGCCTTCATCTTGCAGGAACTGCTGACAGACTCCAGCCACATAAGGTCTAGCATTTTCCTGCATTTTTAACATAACATTGACAAAATAAAATCTGTCTGTCATTAGGAGGAACCCAGGGCCAACCACACTAGCATATGGTCTCACAATGGTTCAGTGGATCCCATCCCGGTACCTAATGGCAGACATGCTACCTCTGGTGTTGGGCTGTGAGCACAACCCATCTCTGTGGACGTTGTGCCCTCATACCATCCTCATGGAGTCGGTTCCTAGCTGTTTGTGCAGACACATGCACAGTCACTTCATAGTGTTATGTTGAACTTTTTTCTCTTAAATTAATCCAAATGGGGATGCATTACTAGGTGTTGAAACCTTTAACACACTTTGCTTTGCTAGTAACTAGTGCAGGCATGCACTGTGCGATATTTCCAATCTTTGAACTCAGCTACAGCTTAAACTGTATGATTAGACCGCAGGGTTTAAAAGTTCACAGCTCACGATGTAAAAATCAGATGTCCTACTTGTCAATCTGGAAGCCAAATGTACTGTAGACAGTAGAAGAAGAATTCTCTTGTTTGCACATGGAAAATGCACAAAGTTTAGGTAAATTGGCTCGTAGCTGTGCCTCAACAGTAGGATTTGCTCATGACCACCTCACGCGGGCCGACTGAATTTCAAACATGTTTGATTTTCTCTCGACCTTACGATTCATGATCAGGAGGTGGTCATGAGAGGCAAATCTCCCCTCGTTACCCCTTTTATTTTACACAACGCAGGACGCACGATGAGGCTGAAAGTCGGCCTGATCAAAAAAATTCTCACACTACTGGAGAATCGGCCCGAAAAGGACAAAAACTGACACAGTGTATCTCCACCTTTATTTAGCATTTAAGCCTTTAAATTGAAGAGTTGCTTTAAAGGTCCTCCATGCCTGAAGTCATCGACCAGAGGCTTATAGTGTTGAGTATTTGGTAGAAAAATAGGAAATAGATTGTCACTCTATAGACAAGCTGATTGCTTTGCAATTGTGTAGCTATGTGGCATAGCCAGTTGTATGTTCAGGTCTATTTCATGAATGGTAGGGATGGTTTAAATTCTTTTATAATGGATGGAAGCACAGCTACTACAAAAGACAGCAACATTTCAATGGGATTTTTAACCCAAAAGGAATTGGTTTTAATGATCAACATTTACATGTTTTTAAATGGTTTAAGTTATCCACATACCCTAATTATATTATTATATTTTATTATCTAATAGAACTATAAAAAAAATTAATTGGCATGTTGTTATGAATGTTGACATGTTTTAAATGTTGGGTTTTGGCGTTTTGAGCCTGAGAAATGCCAAAATACTTAAGTTGTGCTGTTTTCTTGGAGTCTCTTCAACAGTCTTTATTTCAGCAGCAAATTTTACTCCTTAAGAAGTATTTCTTGTTTGTTTTCTGAAAAAAGTCAGCGCTTTACTCTGTGTAGTGGACAATGCTCAATGATAAGCATTTGTTTCCTGGATGCTGAATGGACAGTGTGGTGTTACACTCTCCCTTCTTTATTGCTCTCCCTCTGCCTTGCCAAAAAACAATGATGTCACCCTTGTTGCTATGGTCACAGTGGGGCAAGCAGGAACATGCCAGAGAGAGGGGAGGAGCTGCTGCTGTGTTTCTGGGGCCATGCAAAGACTAAATATACATAGATGAGTTGTGCAAGACGGTTTATTGGACTTTTTACGACCTTGATCTTTTTAGTGTATGCATACTGCTGCCTCAAGTAATCCAGTCATTCTCAGATCGGTCAAGCCAGATTTCCATCAGATTTTATGACCTCATCTTCCCCACAGCTGTGCAGAAAATAAGCATAAATATTTATAACATCTTATTCTGAATCATTTTAACTATAAAAAAGCTGGCACTCTTTATTATTTTTAAATGTTTTCTTTAACTTCAATTCATAAATAGTCAATCTTAAGGCAAAGAGCAGCTCCTTATTTTGATGCTGTCTGGTTTGAAAGTAAATGGTCTGGAGTAAAATAGTCCTGGTGATAAGAGTGCAGTTCTAGTAGCTATGTTTTGTTTCTGTATAAGCAGCAAGCTGCAGTCAGAAAGGGAGATTTAGTGCAGACTTCGTTTTGTTTGGAGTGAATTCAGGCAGATACGAGGCTGAACCGAGCAGTGGAAAGTCCCCTCGCTGAGACGGAGCCAGTAGTAGTTTTCCTGATTATTATTTTGTTTCTTTTTTTGCCTGAACTCCCATTCATGGACAACTCTGTAGGGCCTCTGTACCAGGTGACTGCGGAGGAAGAAACGGTTCCCACCACACACGTGTATATGGAGTCTATCCACAACTATTTCCTCCCAAAATGTTGCTGACCAGATTCTCTGCTGAGGCCAGAGGTTTATGCTTTGCTCAGCAAACTGTAAAAGTCAACAAAATCCCAAATTGCACTTTAAACAGCTTGGACAGAAAATGCTTATCATCTACTTGCGTTTGCAGGCAATTTGTTCAAGAAAGTAGTTTTAACAGTACTTAAAAACATAACTTATACCAATTATAATAAGTATGGAAGTATAACTTCTGTTTTGATATCCAAAGGTATACCTAATCCTACTAGAAATTCTTATGTATCCATATTTCTCTGTATTCTTTTCACAGGTGAAGCAGCATTAAGAGGGGACCCCAGATTCCAGTCCTTGTCCCTATCCTCGTCTTCTTCCTCGTCATCCTCTTCTTCCTCCATCTCCAGCCACAGGACTGGCCCTCCTCCCATCAGCCCCACCAAGAGGAAGCTGAGTGGGGACCAGGGAGACAGCGACATGGATGACAATGAGCATGTGGCTAAGATGAGTCGCCTGTTTGTTGCACAGCTGTAAGTACATACTTGGATACAATCTCATGCATTACAAAGCAGCTACTAAGACTTGGTTGGTGAATTCTGAAGATTTTGAATGTCTCTATCAGTCTCATCTATATTCTCTTTCCCTATAAAAGTTCTTTACATGCCTTATTTTTTACCATATTATCACCTATTCTCAGCTTTTCTGTTGACCAAGTGAAATTTTGCACAGGATAATTTTTCTGTGAGTTTCAGGCTCAATGTGAATACCTCAAATTGGTAAGGACACTTAAGCCAGGGGGCAACCATTATAGGAGATAGGAGCTACAACTTAAGGTATTCAGACTGAGCCCTATTTGGACTCAGTGATTTTGAACGAGGTTTAACTGTGTCTGCAGAAGATGAAGCTTCTTGTAGAGGAAATTAACTCTGAAAGCTGTGGAATGGTTAGAAATGTAACAGAAGATAACTCATAGCATTTCACATCAGGGGAGGTGACTGTGCAGTCTGTTATGACTGAGTCATTCAGGAAGACTAGCCAATTCTATTATTGTAAAAATGTAAATAGGTTTTAAGTCAGTCTATGTGCCTTGTTTTCTATTGGCATAAATCAACAGCTTTTGTATATTACAGATAAAAATCTGAGATTTTGATTCAATTCATTAAGGGCTGCATTCAATATGATGTAATATCATAGGTTTATCTAACGTAACTGGCCAGCGCTAATTTATTTCCTGTTAGGTTTAACCTGTAGATTACATTTTTAAGGGCTTTTAATGATGAGGCACTTTTTTTTTTTTAAATCAAAATGGAATCAAAATATCATGGTTGTCTCACAGTGTGGAGGTTCACATGCTGCAGTAGCAAAAACAATGGGCTTATTTTAATGATTTGTTTTAGACTTGAGGAAGTATATGCTGACAATTGATTTGTTTACAGGCCAGCAGTTGTTGAAATTATTTGGGTTTTTTTTTTTGTATTTAATCAATAAAGGGAAAAATCAATTTCTCAGAAGGTGACCTACAAATATCTGATCAGGCTCAGAAAATTGCTTGAATCTGATCTCTGAATCATGGTGGATGCATCTCAGATATGTAATATACACTCACCGGCCACTTTATTGGGTACATCTGTCCAACTGCTCGTTAACACTTAATTTCTATGCAGCCAATCACATGGCGGCGACTCAGGGCATTTAGGCATGTAGACATGGTCAAGACAATCTCCTGCAGTTCAAACCGAGCATCAGTATGGGGAAGAAAGGTGATTTGAGTGACTTTGAACGTGGTATGATTGTTGGTGCCAGAAGGGCTGGTCTGAGTATTTCAGAAACTGCTGATCTACTGGGATTTTCACGCACAACCATCTCTAGGGTTTACAGAGAATGGTCCGAAAAAGAAAAAACATCCAGTGAGCGGCAGTTCTGTGGGCGGAAATGCCTTGTTGATGCCAGAGGTCAGAGGAGAATGGCCAGACTGGTTCGAGCTGATAGAAGGGCAACAGTGACTCAAATAACCACCCGTTACAACCAAGGTGGGCAGAAGAGCATCTCTGAACGCACAGTACATCGAACTTTGAGGCAGATGGGCTACAGCAGCAGAAGACCACACCGGGTGCCACTCCTTTCAGCTAAGAACAGGAATCTGAGGCTACAATTTGCACAAGCTCATCGAAATTGGACAATAGAAGATTGGAAAAACGTTGCCTGGTCTGATGAGTCTCGATTTCTGCTGCAACATTCGGATGGTAGGGTCAGAATTTGGCGTCTACAACATGAAAGCATGGATCCATCCTGCCTTGTATCAACGGTTCAGGCTGGTGGTGGTGGTGTCATGCTGTGGGGAATATTTTCTTGACACTCTTTGGGCCCCTTGGTACCAATTGAGCATCGTTGCAACGCCACAGCCTACCTGAGTATTGTTGCTGACCATGTCCATCCCTTTATGACCACAATGTACCCAACTTCTGATGGCTACTTTCAGCAGGATAATGCGCCATGTCATAAAGCTGGAATCATCTCAGACTGGTTTCTTGAACATGACAATGAGTTCACTGTACTCAAATGGCCTCCATAGTCACCAGATCTCAATCCAATAGAGCATCTTTGGGATGTGGTGGAACGGGAGATTCGCATCATGGATGTGCAGCCGACAAATCTGCGGCAACTGTGTGATGCCATCATGTCAATATGGACCAAACTCTCTGAGGAATGCTTCCAGCGCCTTGTTGAATCTATGCCACGAAGAATTGAGGCAGTTCTGAAGGCTTTAGGGGGTCCAACCCGTTACTAGCATGGGGTACCTAATAAAGTGGCCGGTGAGTGTATTAACAGTCAGTGACTGTTTGCTTTCCTGTTTTCCTAATTATTTAGGTTAACATAATATATTCAGAGAACATTTTTCATATGAATCCAGTTGTAATGTCTTGATCTATGCAGTGATTTAGTTTCTGTAAAGAATAATTGCTCAATTAAAACAAGACTACAGCTTTATTGTGCCTTATTCTTCTGATGTTTCTCACTTTAAGGCACCTTCTTGTGCATCATAGGGTTGAACTTTAGTCTGTAGGCTCTGAGTACTGAAGCACTTATTGTTGTATCAACTTTTATTTAACTATATTCACGTTCTCCTGTTACCATTACTTTACTCTGTGTGGTTTCTAAAACATTAAAAATATGTAAAAGCGATATTTTGTCCTTTTGAATTGGCTTTCTATGTAGTGATGTAATCCATAATGCCATGGTATAATTGCACATTAGATTATTAGCTTACGGTGAGTTAATACTTAGGGCTGTTGGGTAATCATACAAATGAACATTTCCAGTTTCCTTGTGTCCTCTTGTATTTAGAGCTCTCACAGATACAAAGATACATTTATATCCCTGAGACCTTGTTTTTCTAAGGTCATGCTTTCCGTGGTAAAGTGAACCACTGAGTGACTTGTTGAAACTAGCTGTCAGACTTAACCTCTGACTTGATGGTAGTGATTACACTGAAGTGGAGAATGATGGGTTCAGCTAATTTACACTAAAGATAGTTTGTAAAAATAGTTTCCTCAGAAAACATTGCAGGGTGCGTACCACATGCGCACGTGCATGCATACAGCTCTGATGTCCAGAGAAGACAGCTCAGCTACACGTTGATGAATATGAATATTCTTCTGTTAGTTTAGTTTAGACTGATTTCATACCTCAGATATGTAACCACACAGCTGATTTAATAGAATGTTTTATTTGTGTATTTTGAACTGGTTTTAGTATGGAGATTAATGGGTATTAGCTTTTATAACAATTATGATAACCTTGAGTAAAAAATACCAGTATTACAGCATTCCCTGGATAGTGTTGAACAAAATTTGATGGTCTTATATTTAAAGAAGAAAAGCAGTTTAGGAACAAATAAAGAATAAGCTTATGCTAAAATAAAGGGTTTTCAGTTTCTTTATTTTTAAAGAATATTTTGCATGTTTGCTGTTCTGGTCTTCATGAACTTACAGCCATATAACAGGCATACCCTTTCTGTAGGGCTGGATGATGTGGCTAAAACTATAATATTTTTATTCATTTCAGTCTATATGCTTTAATTCCAGTATAAAGGCCTCAGAAAACTACCAAATTGACCAAGACAGAAACTTGTACAAACTTCTGAATGTTATAATGTGTTAAATCTGAGAAATGTTACGCCATTCCTTTGCTCAATATATATATCAAAAGTAAAAGTTCTGAGACTATATGTTTAAAAACTTTAGCAAGCCTTCATTCTATTAACTGACATCAATTTCCTAAAAAAAAAATACATAAGAAGACAAAAAAGAATATTTGACCTTTTCATCTTTTATTTCATCTAATTAATAATCAAGATAGACATCATTTCTATACATTTTAAAGTGTAGCTCAATTATATTAGGTTATATGAGGTATTTGCAATGAGATCAAGACTCTGCTAGGAATAGAACAATTTTTCCAGTTCATAGACAAAAGTAAATTTGAATCTGTAACAGAATATAAGTAAATCCTGTTTGATTTTTGAGGGTTCTAGAGGCAGGCTGACATGTTGATCAGAGCTTTCTCTCCTGAAACTCCATCTGCTGTACCAGTTATTCACATGTGTTGCATTTTGTCGCTCACACATGTATATGTATGTTCCTAGTTTTGATCATGTGTATGAGTGCATTTGTGCATCTGTGTGGGGTGAGGTCAGACAGCAGGGAATACTTTCTCATTTTCCCGGTGGAGTAGGAGGAGTCTTGAACAAAAGAAGCCTTATCCTGTCCAGTGGAGCCTGCAGACTGGAAGCTTGCTGCAGCCTGTTTGCCTGTGTGCCGTTCTGGAGTTTCAGACCAACCAGTATAAAACTCTTCAGCTGTCTCATTTGTCTTTCAACATTACTGCAGTAAAACAGCCAGGTATTGTAGAGGCTTTTGAATGAACAAAATAAAGTTGAATGGGATAAAGGTAGTACTTTGTTTGATAAGAAATCTTTTATATGAAAAACTATCAGAACATTATTTGTTTGCTATGTAAACCACAAATAAAACATGGCTGTGAAAAGTGGCTTTGAAATAATCCTCAGGCCCTAAAGTTAAGTTTCCCAACTTGGTGAGGATGCAGTTTTTTTATGCGTTCCCTATCAGGCCTGATCGTCAAACTTAATTTCTTTGCCATCTGCATGCGTTTATGTCATATTCCCATAAAGGTTATTCCATGCAGACATTGGGCCTTAAAGCAAAAAAAGAAAAAATACAACAGAAAAAAAAAACAAAAAACAGGCAAGTCAAGTACTATAGCATGCAGAAATCCAGCTGCTTTCTACTGGGAACTCCATCACAATGTTTTTTTTCTCATGGATGTTTCTCCAGAGGCCTAGTTGGGAGAAAATAAGAGGGCAAAGATATGGTGTGTTTGTACGTGTGTCCAAGCCTGGGGAAGTCATTGTTATGCTCTTGTTTTACATGAGACCATTTATATAATGAACATGTGAGGCGGAAAAGGAAGGTTTTTTTTGTCTTCCTTTTTCCAGTATGTTTTGGTTTTTGTCTCTATGTTGTTATCTTAGCCTCTTTGTGGTTTTTCTCTCATCCAATGAGCTCTAGCTCTAACTAAACACTATCTCTGCTATCACTTCACTGAAAAAACTTGCCAGGGGTCTCAGTATTTATGAAGTAATCGGGGTTTACAAACAGCATTGCTATAAACTTGTTAAAACTTGTTCTTTCTTTTTAGATTGCATATATGTTTATATCAGACCTAATTTAATACATTTCCCCTGATTAAAACAGACCTTTTTTTCCTGAAAAGGTTCTTATATTACCAAAAGTATCTGCTCAGTTATAAAGCCCAGTCTCAGCAGAATATACAGGGATGTATGAATATTATATACATGACAATTGGAGTTTATAAATCTTTTATGCATCACTTCCTTTTTGTTGTAATACATCCCATATGTTCCTGCCTGTACTGTTCTTTATTTCGCCCCTCATCTTAAATGTATTCAGTAGGATGTGAACATGTGCCCAATCAAATATTCACTGAAAAAATGTTCCTAAAGACTCCAGAGCAGAAGTGTGAGAAAAAGTGTAGAACTTTTATAGCTTCTGTGCTGTTGCCACAAAACAAAGCCAAATTTTTCCTTCTAAAGCTTGTGTTCTCTGACTCGAACTCCTTAAACTCTTAAAAAAAAACCCCGTCTTTTTCACTGTTATATACATGTTGTCTTTACTTTTAAGTTGCTGAAAAAGGCAAATAACATCTATTTTTGAGCCCTTTTTGTAATTGAACAGTTGTGATCTCCAACTTGAGGTTAACTTAAAGATGGGGTGTCTTCAACTGGCTGCTTTGAAGGCTCTACTTATTCAATGACAGATCTAAGCAGTTTAATATTGTTCAATATTTGGTACCATATAATTTCTGCACTGAGAGCTTTGAGGTTCTGGGTTTTAAATTAAGGGATCGTACAGCGAGTCCCCACCGCAGTGGCTGCCACTAATGCCATGCTGCAGGCACCCAAGGCTTTTCAGGACAGACTCGACCAGGTAGCTTCTCTGTTTTATTGAGCAGCAGAGCTCATTCTGGTTCTCTGTTCTCTGTTTTATTGATTGTTAGGTACGACGCATTTATTACATCTGCCAAACACCACAGGAAGTTCTGACCCAATGTAACTTAAGGAAAATAGGCTACAGGCTAATAGATGTGTCCGAACTGAACCACTGAGGCGTTAGTCTGCTCTCCAAATTCTGTTTAAGTCATAAAGGGTCAAATAAAAAGGCTTTTATACAGAAGTTTTTCAGTAAAAACTTTCATAATGTCTCTTTAATGTTGCCTACCCTACACTGATTAAATGCCTCAAAGCTATAAACATCCACCATTTGTCTATAAACCCATTACTTCGATGCCTGATTTTGAGCAAGACCCTTAACCCCCACAGTGCTCTATGTGCGCCCCATGATGGCAGCCCACTGCTACCCGGAGGGATGGGTTAAATGCAAAGAGTGAATTTCTCCAATGCGAGACCAATAAAGTTCAATTATTGTTATTATTGATATTAATCCTAAGAAATTAATTGGAAATGTGCAAAAGAGAATAGCATAAATCAGGAACAACTAGATCAGTCAATCTCTTAAGAAAATAAAACACCCTTTGTAATTTTTCAGAAACTTTCTTTTTACCGGCTGGAGCCCCTGATATTTTCTAGTCCATCTCTTTTATTTGCTCTTGTTTCATGTGCCTCATCACCTGTCCTCAATGTGTCCTTCCACTGTCGCTTTAAGTGCGACACTTTGATGTTGTCTGAGTTGCAGTCATAAGGACACAGGTTTGGTTTAAAAGCCTGAACTTTGGCATGAAGTGAGTTAGTGTATAGTCACAAGCAGACGTAAAAGGCGAGGAAGGCTGATTCATCAGCAATTCCATTCATTAGGCAGATTGGTTTATCTCGATTCATTGGTTACTGTGATGACTCCCCTCCTGAATGAGGATGTGGGCTTTCCTCTGCCTCGGTAATGATGATAGTTTGGAACTTCCACAGTCAAACTAAATTATTAGTCCATTTTCTTTCTCTATTTGCTTTTGGTCACATTGGGAGATAAATTAGAAATTATAAAACACCCTTTTCTTCTATGTTATTTACTGTAAAAAGTTTTAACTTTATCAGCAGAATGGAAATAGATATTGAAGCTGCTAATAAAAAACACATGAGCTTGTTGGTGAGCCTGGGCTTTTGTAAGCCCTGCCAAGTCTGTTCCGCTGTAGCCCTCAGGAAGTTTACTGCTGATTGTGAGAGAAACTGAGGGAGAGAAGACGGAGAGAAAGAAAGAGTGGGGGGTCCCTTTGCTCATGTCTGCATAAATGGAGGAAACTACCAGCCTTGCTTGCGCTTTCACGGGCTAAAGGTCTGGAGCATTCACATGCAGCGCCCCACTTCCTCCTCAGTGTTGTCGTGGAGGGCTGTGCTGTGGACTCCAGATGCTTGATCCAGCAGTCGGGTTGCCTGGTCACATGGTTGTACAACTGTTTATCCAAACTGCTTTTGCATCCAAACACACCTTAAAGGGTTTTTCTGGTTTTTGCAACGCTAAGTCGGATGCTTGCTCTCACTTAAACTGCACGCTGAGGAAATGCCTCTATATGATACCTTGGAAAGGATGAATACATAATCTACCCACCATTATGAAAGTGTAGTTTATCTGCAATAAAATTTTACCAATCTACTTTTAGATTTTTAAATTTTTTTTCGGGGAAACTGTTGAAACAACTTTTATATTATAGTGTACTATAACTGTCTGTATAATAGCAGGAAAGTCAGTGAGTAAGGTTTGTAGATAAATAATGCCACATACAAAACCTCTTTTAGGGGGAGAGATATGAAGAGATGGAAACCAGTAGAGTACGTTTTGTTCCTTCAACTCGGGCCTTAATTTGTCAGAAGGGAGTGGAGCAGCACAGGGAACAAGGACCACATATGACGCACTCCCTGGAATAATCACTACCTGTTAAACTGCAAGCAAGTCTGCGCAATGTCTGGTAGAAACTGTGTGTAACAAACATATCAAAGTTATTATGATCCAGATCTGAAAAAAAAAAAGCTGCCCAAATGTGTGTTGTTTATGTGTTACTTTAAACCCTTATCATGGTTTCTGCTTTTCCAGCGATGATCTCACGTTTTGGAGGGAAGAGAGACTTTTCTTGTTGCTGTTCAGGTTTCTTTGACCCAGTTCTCAACTTCTTGTAGGGAGGAGGTTTAAGGAAGGAGTTAAACCTAAAGGGGAATGTTTCTAATATATTACCGGATAAAATGAATGTTGACGGTAAACTTTCCCTGCAGGGTTTTTATCTTTGGCAGTATTAAGTGTGCTGGCTTCTCTCTCTCTGGAGCGATAAGGCTTATTTTCTGTGCTGGGGGATCCACTTTAAAGCTTTGAACTCGCTGCCCATTTGTCCCTATGTGCAGTGATAAGTTTGGAGTCCGTCCAGGTTGGATAAATTTAGGCGAGAGCCCCCTTCGCCTTGCTCACTTGGAGACGGTGTGTGACAGAGGTTGTGTTTCTACCAAATGGCTTTATCAACTCTCCAAGGGACCCGAGAACTGTTGTGTTAGATTAGTATTTATAGCTGATATTTTTTATTTTTGTAACAGCGAAGCAACATGATCTTTATTATTAATCCGTTTATTTCTCCCTGTAATCATTTCTTGGTATTTTATTACCTTTATGCCTTCTAATTTTAATTAATTCCCCCATTAAATTATTTTATCAAAGCTTATTTACTTAGTCCAATAGGTGTAGTTACTACTCTAAGGAATCTTTTTCTTTATTTAACAGGAAACCAGCAGGAGACTATCGTAACTCCCATGTTCCTAAAGACCATAGGAGGAGTCCCAGTGAGCGCATGGTGGTGCCAGGTCCTCTGGGAGTCCAGGGCAACCTGTATGGCCACACCCACCACCACCACCATCATCATCTTCACCTGGCCACCTTAGCAGGCATGGATCAGCCTCTGGCACTTACCAAAAACAGCATGGTGGAGACGGCACGCAGCAGCACAGCAGCTCTGGCCTCGATGCCGCACACAGTCGGCGCAATGGAACGGCAGCAGGTAAAATGCCTTTCCTGCTCTTCTGGTTCCAGCACTGAACTCATTCCTCTTTAACTGTTCAGTTAGTAATTATTGGAAGGTCCTCCTCATGATGTAAACTGATACTTGATAGGATGAAGATTGTTTTACGTGGTCCAAAATGTGCTATAAAAGTTCTGAAGTTTTCAGCCCTCATACTTTGAATAAGCGACCGTTTTAATTGGATTTGGGCTTGATCATCCCCAACATTTCCTCGAAACCTATTGCATATTTTCAGCACAGCATTTCTAGGAATTGTCATTAAACACAACTTTGTTCTGCTTTTAGAACCGTCCATCAGTGATCACATGTGCCGCAGCTAACAATCGCAACTGCAACCTGTCCCAGTGTCCGGTCTCCCACAACGGCTGCTCCAACTTCACCAACAACTACAGAAGAATCAACAGTAAGTGGAAACACATTTTGGAAATGTTTAGTCCCAAGCAACCTGTGATGGAATACAATTTACCATTAAAACCACATCAGTTAATACAATAAAAATCCCAGAAGAACTTTTTAGGTTGCCACTCGGCGTGTCCTCCTCAGGATAATACGTTTCAGTTGAAGGTTCATGCCCACATCAAGGCCCAGTATTTGGTTTAAGATCGCATTAGGAATCTGGAACATTCATATGTAATGACATAACCATGAAAAATAAACATTTTATCTATTGGAGCTAATATGAAGCATTCAGACGTCTCCTTTCAATGTAACATTTTATTTTTAAAGGCTCGCATTTCCTTGTTTTACCACTTGCTCCGTTGATTTGGGAATGTATTGCTTACACTTATAATATATATATATATAATATAATCTCCTTTTTCATTACTTGTTGAGTAACTTTAGAAATGTAGAACCTAAAGAAGCAATAATCTGCTCCCTTAAATTTTTCAGATGTGCCTCAATTAACTTAAAAAAGTGCTTAAGCTGATATTTTCTCATGAAATATTGAGGCTTTTAATTTGGAATCTACTTTAGAAACAATTTTGAAATATAATCCCTTACTTTGAAGAGTTGCTTTTTTACAAAATGACAATATGATGATTGTGATTCTGATAAACCTTAGGAATTTGAATCCAACTCTTTAATCGTATGAAGTTACTTATTTAAAACATCTGTTACTTTATTTTGACTTCGTCTTTTTAATCGCTGGTTTTGGCAGATTAGAAATTTGGATTATTTGCAGCTCTCTAAACTGCTCTATTGCAGGCCTTAACAACTTAAACATTTTCCTGTTATTTTTACTCTTTAAAAAGTCACTTAGGGCCTCAGCGGCTTTTGGAGAGTGTTATATTTTCTTTGCCGCAGTAAATTTAAAATGTCTGTTTTTTATGATGCCACTGGGAATTTCAATGATCTCACTGAGGTTAACTGGGAAATTTAAAAGGCTCGTTTTATGTATTTAAAGAAAAAGCACTGAGAGGAAAAGTAGATACTCTCAGTGACCTAAAATTACTTGTTCTCAAACTAATTAAAGGCAATAAATTGCCCATAGAAATCATAAAACTGGATATGAGGGGTGCTTTTCTTTTCATCATCTCATTGGTAACTGAGAACTGCTTTCCTTCCAGCCAATACAGCCTGCGACCCTGTTATTGAGGAACATTTTCGTCGGAGCCTCGGGAAGAACTACAAAGAGCCCGAGCCCACTGCCACCAACTCCGTGTCCATCACAGGCTCTGTGGACGACCATTTCGCCAAGGCGCTGGGTGAGACCTGGCTGCAGATCAAAAACAAGGGGAGTCCCTCGTCGTCCGGCAGCAGCCCGAACTCCCCCGACAGTCACATGGTCAATCACAACCACTCCCCCTCTGTAGTCTCTTGAAGAAAGAGAGGACAACACCCCCCCACCCCATCCACTCTTCCAATCATCTCAGCTCCAAGATCCGTGCTCCTGTCATTCTGTCACCAGCATCCCAGAGGGAATGCCTGCCTGCTGGTCTGCTAACAACAGCCGAAACCCTGAAGCCTGCTCATTCACTGTGGATAACTTAAGCAATAAAGACATGCTCTCCTCCCCTCCATTATCTGCCAGAAAAACAAAAAGACTTGATGTGGAACTCGACCGTAGCATCAAATCGCTCCTTTCCAGTCTCTCACCATCCCTGCATCGATGGCTTGGAGCTGAGCATGCGTCTGTAGTTTTATGTATATAAAAAGAGAAGAAAGACTGTTTTATTCACTTTCTTTTTTAACAGTAGTTCTGTGTACTGATTTTTGTGTTATGACATGCCTGGTCTTTGAACGAAAAATGAGAAACACCTTAGAAAACAATCATAATCCACCATGCCGTGCTACCAAAGAAACCTCAACTGATGTTTTTTTTTCAGCGCCAACCTTTAAAAGCACACATGCGCCCCCCCCCCACCCCATCTCCTCCTCCTGTCTGCTGTATCAGAGTTCTGGTAGCTTTGCCGTTTTATGTGACCTTAGCTAAGATCAACTCGGTCTGATTTGCACTACTCCTTTAAAAGGTGACATGTCAGGTTTGTAACTTGACTCTGTGGCTTAAAAAAGTGTATTTTGATGCAATCATGTCTTATCTCACGTGTTGGAAACCTGCATTGATTTCTAAAGACCTCCTGTTTAAAGTCTACTAGAGATTAGTTGACTTTGACGCGTGTGCAATGTCTTGCATATGTTGTCACTTGTACAGATGTTAAGCACTCCATTGAAATTGGGCAGCAGGAGCGTTTGGTCACCTGCTAGAAACTAGTTTAACCATGAGATCATGGTGCTTCATTTGGACAGAAGTTAATTATGGAAGGTGGGTGTTGCTGTTTTGAAGCTCAGCTTCTGATCTGTGATCAGTCTCCAGCAACACCTACCTGCAGAATGTCAGTCTGCACTGAAAACCCTCTGTTGACAGAAGAGTGGTTTAAATGGACCCAGTGTTGGAGGAGTCCAGAAATGTGTCCACATCAAGGTGTCATGGATACTGAGAGGGAGAAAAAAAGAATTTGGTAAATTTATCTGTTTTGTAACTTTCTGATGTGGTCAAAGATTACGTGAATAATGTGAGAGCATTGTCCAAAACACTGATCTAGCTCCTGTAGAGTAAATCAACCCTTTAAATGCGATTGCTATCAAACGAACAAAGCGGGAATTTGTTTCCTCCCCATTGTCCTAACTGTTAGAATCACTACCTGAAGGAGGAGTTTAAGGCCGGGCTCCACTGAACCTGCGTCTTTGATGTGTTTCAAAGGCGTTAACTGTTGACACTGATGAGGGGATAGATGACGCTGAACGTCACTTTGTGGTTTTCGAAAATAAACGGGAGGGGGGGGGGGTTTATCATGATCTCTTCAAACACACCTTTTGTTTCTGTGACTCTTTGAACATCGGTGTTAGAATTATATTTGACTAACACCCTGCTATCTACGTCTCCCCCTCTTACAGACTGTGGTTTATTAGATTTCTAATCAATGCTTTTACAGGTGCATGTAATGTTTTTTTTTTTATAACTGGTATCTATTAGGGTTTTTAGCATTTCAAGCTCAACTATTAACCTTTTTTTTTCATTCAAATGTTACTACTTTTGTTGTCAAAAACAGACTACCGATGCTATACACTCACTGCTGGGTCAGTTGTACTCAATATTGTTGTTTTTATTATACCTTTGTATTTTTCTGTTTGTTTTTTTCATTAATATTAGTGTGGTAACAAACATCTATAGTGGGACAGCCTCCGGACAGGCTCTGCTAAGTGACACAAGCTTTTCTTTCTTAAAACCTTCTCAGCCTACATCTACTGTAAGGTCATCATGTTGGGTTTGGTTCTGCTGCTCTTTATGGTTTCCATAAGATGTTGATCATTTGCTGGTACAGGACTTTACAGACTTCACAAGCTGACACACAAGTTGATAGTCATAGGGGCTTGGATGCTTTTGGTGGTGCAGTGTCTTAAAAATACATTGCATCTTATTGACACTAAAGCGTTTAAACAGAAAACCTGGAATTGGGCAACTTAAAAGCTTTCCAAGATCAGCAGTTAATCTGAATTTACATCAATGCTGCAGCTCTTACTGCCTCCCTCACTAGACTTATGTAATTTAATGCTTTCTTTATAGAAGAACATTATTTCCTGCAGCCTATAGTCATCAATGATCTTCACTAATACAGCCTGCACCATGGTGGCATACATTCCTCCATTTGGGAACTTAATGTAGGTCTCAATCATGCCCTACATCTCAGAGCGTGTTTCCTACACACTGCTTTCCTCTGCAGATTTGCTTCAAACAAAAGGAACAGACTTTGCTTTGGTGCCATAACATTTTCTAACACTTTTAAAGTTTTTGCTTGAGAGACCTAGACCTATAGTAGTTGTTTGGAGAATCATTTCATGTCACAGAATTAATAGACAATGAGGTTTATTATTTTTTTGCTTAGTGATGAGTTTTTGGTAGCAAGTAAGGTGATCCTACAAAGTTCCTATAAAGGAAGGTGTTCTCTGGATTGTCCACACATTCCTGCAATCAAAACAGATTTGATGAGGACAGTGTCCCAAGGGTTTGTTAGCTTAAAGAGATCATGATCACTTTTACACGCTTTGACAAGGGAGGTGTGCCAGGCAGGCTGGGGTGACAAAGACTGAGCTGCAGGAGCTGTGCTTCTGTAAGCGTAAGGTGTGAGTCACAAGATATTTACCTTCCACCTAAAGACTGCAGTGCTGTGAAAAACCTGGTCCCCTTACAGATTGCTTCTGTTTTGGCTATGTGACACACTTTGTCAATATCTTAATATCAGACAGAAAAACCAGGGTGTAATTTGTAGGAATAAAGATAATGACACTCACCTGTTGGAAATGAATTAGTCTTTAAACCTACAACCTTTGATGCTAACCAATGGATGAGCCTTTCATCCAAACACTTCCAAAAGATTTTATTTTATTTTTTACAATTATGCACTCTTGGAATAATGCAGAATGCTTTTGACATGGCGTACTCTGGCTAGTAGTTAGTATTTATGTTCGATTTACCCCTGTTGTCTGTCTGATATTAAAATTAATTTGATCTTAAACTTTTAAATGTGACAAAAAAGCAGAAGAATTCTGTAACGGGGTAAATGTTTTTATTCAGCACTGTATTCAGGGTCTCATGGCGATCCCCAACCACCTTGCAAGAAAATGTTGAGGGAAAGAGTGGAAGTCCAGAGATTTTTATTTAGTTTCTCATCATTTCACTACCACCCTGTAGGCAGGAGGTGTGGGCTTTGCTCGGGCTGGCACTCCCTACACTCTGTAGGAAAATCACTTTTTTTTTTAAAATATTAGGTAATTATGAGACCATCATTACGCTGTGCGTAACGAATGTACAGAGGAAAAAAATCGTAGGTATTTTTTGAGGAACAATTAATTTGTTAATGATATGTAGCTATTTAATTGTTTTCTGTCCTTTTATTGTAATCATTGCTTTTTCTTTTTGTGAAAAAAGTTGATCTTTTTTGTCAGTAGCGTTTTGTTTGTAAGAGTAAAGGTTCAAGTGCAGGAACACAGTAAATGTATGAAACCACATTACGCCACACACAGGTGTGTTGCTGACAATCGCTACTTCCACTCATCACCGTTCTTCTACAGAAATCAGACATTTGAACAAAGGTTTTAAAGGCCTAAAGAGCTTTTTTTTTTTAAAGTTAAACATGTGGCACTGATAAAAGCACTAACAATGAGTGTTAAAATCAAATGTTAGCCAAGGTCCAGCTGCAGGTTTGTCTAAACTGCATGTAAGCAATAGAAACCGTCTTACTCCACAGCTGGAAAACCGAAATTACATGTGAATCCCTTATTTTATTTTCATTTTTTCATTTTCTGAAATGATGTTGGTAAATTAGCTGTGAATCCTGTAATAAACCTGTTGATGAATCAAAGAGGAGGAGTTCCTCACTGTTGATTGCTCAACTTGTTCCAGATCCTATCTTTGAAGTGGAAGTAGCATGTACTTAGTGGTAGTAATACCCTGAACTGTAAGAAATATTGTATCAAAAACAAATTCTGTGGCTTTGTCTCCTACTCAAAAGGTTTTGGCAGGCCACCTTTTTTGTACGTAAAGTAGCCTTGATGAACAATAAAGTGCTTTTAAATCACAGACTGTGCGCCTCTGTCCTTTTCATGTGGTTTTTGTTGAGACGTTTCTGCAGCTGAACAGGGTATGGAAGGATGTAGAGTGCATATAGTTCCATTACACAAAAACCACACACTAATTTAACATTCTTTGATGTTTAACTGTAAGGAAACATTTTATTACAGATTTTAGTTAAATGTTTAACAGAAGTTAATTTACTAAGCTGGACAAAAACAGGGAATAACTTATGGAAATGTTTGTGTTCCAAAAGAATTTAATATACACGTCTGGGTTCATTTTGTTTAAGAGTTTTTTTTTTTTCACAGAAATAACCGGATAAAAGTTTACATGTCTTAACACTCACACAAGTTTACAGAAACAACAGTGCAAAGTAAAGAATAAACAATCCAGTAAATCTGGACCTCAGGTACTCCTTGATTTGGTTCGCTCTGCAATCCAGCTGCACAGAAACATCTGTATGCAGGATTCCCCAAAGGCGTGATCTGAAAGCTGGTTTTAGTATCAGCATTTCTGTTTATGTTTGGGTCTCTAAGCAGGAAAACGGATAAATGATCTGCTGAGTCCTCTGAACTTTTCTCTTTTTTTTTCTATTACTTTTTTTTTTTACACCTGAAACTTTTTTCAAGCTGAATAAACATGTTAAACCTTACTGACAGATGAAGCCTGTATATTAGGGTGATGGCCTTATGGCATTTTACGACTTTGAAAAAAATTAAATGATGCAAACATACATTGTTGTAGACATTAGAACAAATTCAAGCTCTGTTTGGTTCCATTTTTTGTTAGTATTACCACTCGGGTCTGATGATGAGCCTTCTGCCCAAAATAAAGAGCACGATGTTTGGTGTGAAGGAGTATTTTGGAGTGAAATCTTTCTGCTGCAACCCTTTAGATGCTCTCATCGTCGCTCATGTCCCAAATCTAAAGAGAACAAAGACACAAAAGAAACTTTTAAAAGATAAAAAAAAAAGCAATTTAAAACAACATGCAGCCTGACAAAGCATTTAAATTATGTCAAAGAAAGATTTTGGTTTTCTGGTGGTTTGATGGCTCCAGCAGAAGCAGGTTTTTGGGCTATAAATGTGGAAAGTGGAGTTTTCCTTCTTACAGTTGAATCTTATGCAGAGCTCTCAGTTTAGTGTCCGCATGAGTAGATTTCTGGCTTCATATAATATGTTTAGAAGCTTGAAAACTCCTACGCACACATTTTGTTTTTGTATATTTATCATCATCTGCATGTAATGCAGAAACCTGTGGTAAAAGATTAATACAATAGAAACCCTGTTTTATTATAATGTGAATGAATGCAGGGGATTCAAACAGTGAGTAGATAGTTTTACTGATATATTTAGCTAGATAAATGGATTATAATTTATAGAAGATAAAGCCCTGCATGCATCAGATATATAAAACCTTTTAGAAGACATTAATGTTGATTGTTGCAAAAGGCTTTCTGATCAGGAAGTGACACACAAACACAGAGGAACCGGCTTTGCAGGAGCATGTCGGTAAACATAAGTAGCTGTCTCATGGTAGCAGGTTCCTGACATTCCCCTGCTGTAAAACGTAATTCGCATACCTCCTCTAACACTGAGTGGAATGCTACACAGACAAAACTCTGACACACATACGCTGCATTCCACAGCTTTACTACTCAAAGAGCTCAGGCATAAGAAAACAGAGGAATCCCCTACTGCAATAAACATTAATGGGAACCTAAAGCGAAGATTTTGTTTAAACGAGACTTTTTCATTTTATAAGCTCTAGATAAAAAGCGCTGAAGCTATAGGGTTTATTTTTATTTGATATTTATTTTGGTATGTGTCCTATGCTGCAAACTGATAACATTTTTCATATTACAAACCTGTGTTGTGAGACTCCAAAATAACATTAAAGCACACATTTTTACAAACCAATGGTATTCTAATGAATTAACCTTAGCTTTCAGACATAGCTTGCATGTTTCTTGGTATCAGTCTTTCACATTGCTTCTTGGTGCAGGTGATTCTCTAAATTGTATTTTCATAAAACCAAGAACTAATTAGAACTGAATAGCTCTCATTCATATAAAGAAGGTGGCTCTTTAAGTGATTCGTTAAATATTTCTAGAACTATTTTTTAAATATAAAGTCTGTTGGTCCCCCATCCATCCTTATAACTAATTAACCTCACAAGCATGTACCCAGAGAGAGCATATACAGTGAGAACATGCAAGCAGGGTTTTATTTCGCAATGAATCTGAATCTGATTTTAATTGCTATGTTGATGCATAAAATAATAAATTTGGTTCCACATTGTGTTCATATAACTGTTATATTCAGGTGTGCTGGAGCAAGAACATACCTAAAATTGTTAGGAAACCAGGTCTCGAGGACTGGACTTGTCCATTCTTTATTTAAATGATAAAAATAAAAAAAAACTCTCCATTTTTGAAAGAAAAAAAAAATGCTCATGCACAACCCCTGTACCCTTTCCTGAGAGGGAACGCCTATTAAACGTGTGCAAGAGCGTGCACAAGCCCATTTCTCCTCGTGCACGCTCTGTTTAAAAGTTGCTGTTTGCATAGCTACTAAAAGCTTATTTTCCAAAAGAAGATTTGCAATTTTTCCACTTTGACAGACTCACCATGGGTACGTGAGAATGTGGATGAGCATGTAGGACGGCCTTACGTAAACATGTCACCAGAATTATTGACGATTAGGAGGACCACTTATTTTGATGATCCACCCGGAAAGAGAACGTCCTCCACTATAAATATACAAATGGAGGAAGCAGCAACACACATGCTTCATGTGATCTTAGGGCAAGGCAGCTGAATGTGCTAATGCATGGGCAAACATACACGTATCAGCGGTTGTTGATACGAGAAAAAAACGAATATCAGCCAAAAATATCTGTTGGTTGACGTATCAGTCTATCTCTAATAAGTCACCTACATATTTATGGGCAGTTGTAATGAAGACAGGAAAATCAATAGCATATTTAACACTCACTGGAGAACTTGGTGTAGGATGAGACACTTTTGTTTTTCCCAAAATCAAAGTTTATAACATAGAAATGTGGATGTAGAAGGGAAACCCACATTAAATCCCAAAAACAATTCTACATCATTTTCTTGTTCAAACAGATTTCTACTTCAACGGATTTGATTTCAGTTCAGATATCCAGCTGTTTGTTTATGCTTTAGATGTACTAAACCAAAAAAAGATTACCAAACATCAGACTGAAAGGCTTTAGTGCCAATGAGCAGAAAGTTGCTTAACCTGTCCTGTTGCACATCAACTTGTCCTGTTTACGGGCTGCATCTGTAGTGTGTTGTCAGAGTGAATTTTTAGGCCAGTGTGGGGAATCAGTGACTAATTCATATCAAAGCTGGACGCCTTGCTCCACTGCAGCAGGGGAACAACCATCAGGACAGAAGCAAAGAACTCTTTGAAAACCAGCGACATTGGAGGCCCTCTCTGGATGGCTGCCATGCCAAACTAAAGCCGCGTTAGTTCTTGTGTGTGTGTGTAATCTTTTGTGCAAAGAAGGTCGGAGTGAGTGGGAGTTGTGAGTTAAGGGGAGGTGGGTTGGGGAGGATTATGTAACATGAATAGCTCGAGCAAACTGAAGCCAACAACTTTACGCCACCGGTGAATAGCTGGGATGTTTCTCAAGCTTTTTTTCTCTATTAGTGCATTGATTAAGCAGTTTTCCTCAAATCCCAAATCAGCTCTAGCCAATTAGTAAGCTTGGTGATTTTACAAAGCTTAGGTTTACAAATAATGCTAATCTGATGAAAAACAACACACACAAATATAAATAATGAACTCTGTTTTTTACCAAGCTTCATCCCCAGAGACAGCTGCTTAGCCATTCAATAGAAAGGGCTCAGGTGTTACATCAGAGAAATCCTTTCAAAACATTAACAGCTCAAGTTTTTTATACTCATTAATTAAAAATAAAAACTGGTATACAGAACTATAGGTGTATTTTTGATCAAAATATTAACCAAACTAAACAGGAAACCTTTTTTTTTTTTATTTCTCAATGAGTTCTTTTACCCTATTTATCGGTTAGAAATATTTCTGAGTTCTGCTCTCATAGGTATTCCCATTCTGATGGAAACAACCAGACAAGTCTCAGGATAACGCGAATATCTGCTCTGATCAACAGGCCTGTCACCTTCACACCTTCACTTAGTGTGGGTCTAAAATATTAAAACAATAGTGACAAAGTTTGATGTTTTATAATGTCCAGTAGTGAACCGCATGTCATTTTTGTGGGAAATTATTATAAGTGTAATAATCTGGGCTCTGGCTGATGTGACAAGCATAATCCAGGCTAGTTGTTGAAACAGCGCTGTGATCTGATGAGATAGAGGAGGTTTTAGCTGGAAGAAGCGGCTACTAAAAACACAGCCAAGCCTCTGCTGCTGCTGATTACTGCTCGCCCATAAACACAACAAGCCCCATCAGGAAGGGTTCCTGCAGCATTCACCAAAGCTCCAGAAACATCATTTTTAAAAGCCAGAACTCCTTTTATTTCCTATGTTTTGAATCATTCATCCAGGGGAGGATCTTCCTCAGATCTTTGTAATTCACTCCTATTGCCACTGATGACTCAGTAGTGTAGCTCATTTAGCAAGCTGTTTTAAAACCCTGAGCCTTCACGCAGGAGTACATCCTATGTGCGGGTGGCCCCAGTGGGGCTCCAACCTCTGAAGCCATTCAGTTAGGGAGCGCTACTCAACCACTGATAGAGTAGGCTATTAAAAACACATCTGCTTTACATATTAGAACTGACACCAAAGCACAAAGCGCAAAGTCAAGCTTTCATCATGGAGACTGGCTCCATCTCATATGCAATTAGAGGACCACACAGAGTGATGTGGTTTGAGGCTGCAGAGCACAACAAGGACCGAGTGCTGCTGGTTTAAAAAAAGAAAAACAAGAAAACATGTAAGCTGGGAAAACCACTCACTCTGGATTCATGTTTGTTGTCTGTAAATGGGTTTGTGAATGTTGTACAAAGCTAAATTAAGCAGTTATATCTGTCATTGAACGCAGAGGAACTCCTTTGGAAAAGTGGTGATGCAACATCAGACAGGGAGAAGGTTAAAACCGAGATTCCTCCAGGACTCAGGACTTTTTTCTTCCTTTATTTATTCTTTTAAAAGCAGGAAAGTCCCCCTGAGATTATTAATCAAAATTTTTAAGGGAGTTCTGGCCATTTTATTTGTTATTATAATGAGGTTTCATTTTTTATACTCATTTGAAATTATTGGTTTGTGCTGAACACTTAACATCCTTTAGAACCTGCTACATTCTTTAGAACAAGTAATCGTTTTTAGAACCCTTAACAGTCCTTAGAACCTATCTATCCTTAACAACCTGATAGTTTTACTACAGGGGTTAGTATTCTAGTTGTAAAAAAAAAAAAGAAGGGGGATGGTGTTTTTTTTTTTTTTTTTTTTTTTAAAATATTAGGTAATTATGAGACCATCATTACGCTGTGCGTAACGAATGTACAGAGGAAAAAAATCGTAGGTATTTTTTGAGGAACAATTAATTTGTTAATGATATGTAGCTATTTAATTGTTTTCTGTCCTTTTATTGTAATCATTGCTTTTTCTTTTTGTGAAAAAAGTTGATCTTTTTTGTCAGTAGCGTTTTGTTTGTAAGAGTAAAGGTTCAAGTGCAGGAACACAGTAAATGTATGAAACCACATTACGCCACACACAGGTGTGTTGCTGACAATCGCTACTTCCACTCATCACCGTTCTTCTACAGAAATCAGACATTTGAACAAAGGTTTTAAAGGCCTAAAGAGCTTTTTTTTTTTAAAGTTAAACATGTGGCACTGATAAAAGCACTAACAATGAGTGTTAAAATCAAATGTTAGCCAAGGTCCAGCTGCAGGTTTGTCTAAACTGCATGTAAGCAATAGAAACGGTCTTACTCCACAGCTGGAAAACCGAAATTACATGTGAATCCCTTATTTTATTTTCATTTTTTCATTTTCTGAAATGATGTTGGTAAATTAGCTGTGAATCCTGTAATAAACCTGTTGATGAATCAAAGAGGAGGAGTTCCTCACTGTTGATTGCTCAACTTGTTCCAGATCCTATCTTTGAAGTGGAAGTAGCATGTACTTAGTGGTAGTAATACCCTGAACTGTAAGAAATATTGTATCAAAAACAAATTCTGTGGCTTTGTCTCCTACTCAAAAGGTTTTGGCAGGCCACCTTTTTTGTACGTAAAGTAGCCTTGATGAACAATAAAGTGCTTTTAAATCACAGACTGTGCGCCTCTGTCCTTTTCATGTGGTTTTTGTTGAGACGTTTCTGCAGCTGAACAGGGTATGGAAGGATGTAGAGTGCATATAGTTCCATTACACAAAAACCACACACTAATTTAACATTCTTTGATGTTTAACTGTAAGGAAACATTTTATTACAGATTTTAGTTAAATGTTTAACAGAAGTTAATTTACTAAGCTGGACAAAAACAGGGAATAACTTATGGAAATGTTTGTGTTCCAAAAGAATTTAATATACACGTCTGGGTTCATTTTGTTTAAGAGTTTTTTTTTTTTCACAGAAATAACCGGATAAAAGTTTACATGTCTTAACACTCACACAAGTTTACAGAAACAACAGTGCAAAGTAAAGAATAAACAATCCAGTAAATCTGGACCTCAGGTACTCCTTGATTTGGTTCGCTCTGCAATCCAGCTGCACAGAAACATCTGTATGCAGGATTCCCCAAAGGCGTGATCTGAAAGCTGGTTTTAGTATCAGCATTTCTGTTTATGTTTGGGTCTCTAAGCAGGAAAACGGATAAATGATCTGCTGAGTCCTCTGAACTTTTCTCTTTTTTTTTCTATTACTTTTTTTTTTTACACCTGAAACTTTTTTCAAGCTGAATAAACATGTTAAACCTTACTGACAGATGAAGCCTGTATATTAGGGTGATGGCCTTATGGCATTTTAAGACTTTGAAAAAAATTAAATGATGCAAACATACATTGTTGTAGACATTAGAACAAATTCAAGCTCTGTTTGGTTCCATTTTTTGTTAGTATTACCACTCGGGTCTGATGATGAGCCTTCTGCCCAAAATAAAGAGCACGATGTTTGGTGTGAAGGAGTATTTTGGAGTGAAATCTTTTTGCTGCAACCCTTTAGATGCTCTCATCGTCGCTCATGTCCCAAATCTAAAGAGAACAAAGACACAAAAGAAACTTTTAAAAGATAAAAAAAAAAGCAATTTAAAACAACATGCAGCCTGACAAAGCATTTAAATTATGTCAAAGAAAGATTTTGGTTTTCTGGTGGTTTGATGGCTCCAGCAGAAGCAGGTTTTTGGGCTATAAATGTGGAAAGTGGAGTTTTCCTTCTTACAGTTGAATCTTATGCAGAGCTCTCAGTTTAGTGTCCGCATGAGTAGATTTCTGGCTTCATATAATATGTTTAGAAGCTTGAAAACTCCTACGCACACATTTTGTTTTTGTATATTTATCATCATCTGCATGTAATGCAGAAACCTGTGGTAAAAGATAAATACAATAGAAACCTAGTTTTATTATAATGTGAATGAATGCAGGGGATTCAAACAGTGAGTAGATAGTTTTACTGATATATTTAGCTAGATAAATGGATTATAGTTTATAGAAGATAAAGCCCTGCATGCATCAGATATATAAAACCTTTTAGAAGACATTAATGTTGATTGTTGCAAAAGGCTTTCTGATCAGGAAGTGACACACAAACACAGAGGAACCGGCTTTGCAGGAGCATGTCGGTAAACATAAGTAGCTGTCTCATGGTAGCAGGTTCCTGACATTCCCCTGCTGTAAAACGTAATTCGCATACCTCCTCTAACACTGAGTGGAATGCTACACAGACAAAACTCTGACACACATACGCTGCATTCCACAGCTTTACTACTCAAAGAGCTCAGGCATAAGAAAACAGAGGAATCCCCTACTGCAATAAACATTAATGGGAACCTAAAGCGAAGATTTTGTTTAAACGAGACTTTTTCATTTTATAAGCTCTAGATAAAAAGCGCTGAAGCTATAGGGTTTATTTTTATTTGAAATTTATTTTGGTATGTGTCCTATGCTGCAAACTGATAACATTTTTCATATTACAAACCTGTGTTGTGAGACTCCAAAATAACATTAAAGCACACATTTTTACAAACCAATGGTATTCTAATGAATTAACCTTAGCTTTCAGACATAGCTTGCATGTTTCTTGGTATCAGTCTTTCACATTGCTTCTTGGTGCAGGTGATTCTCTAAATTGTATTTTCATAAAACCAAGAACTAATTTGAACTGAATAGTTCTCATTCATATAAAGAAGGTGGCTCTTTAAGTGATTCGTTAAATATTTCTAGAACCATTTTTTAAATATAAAGTCTGTTGGTCCCCCATCCATCCTTATAACTAATTAACCTCACAAGCATGTACCCAGAGAGAGCATATACAGTGAGAACATGCAAGCAGGGTTTTATTTCGCAATGAATCTGAATCTGATTTTAATTGCTATGTTGATGCATAAAATAATAAATTTGGTTCCACATTGTGTTCATATAACTGTTATATTCAGGTGTGCTGGAGCAAGAACATACCTAAAATTGTTAGGAAACCAAGTCTCAAGGACTGGACTTGTCCATTCTTTATTTAAATGATAAAAANATTGACCTTGACCAAGGCACCTTACAGTAATACTGCAGTCAGTCTCTGGACTGGCATGGCTATCACTGCTCCTACATAGTTAGGAACTAATGCAGAGGATGAATTTCCCACTGGGATCAGATTTATACCGTAGTCATGGTAGGACACTTATTTGATTTTATTTATTTTCCTCAGGCTACTCTTAAACCCACAGCCCATAAAATGTTGAAATGGCAATGTTATTGCCATTACTGTTTATAGCAGAAATTTTACATATTAAGTAATAAAATGTCTCATTAAAAAAAAAAAAAAAAAGGGGGATGCATCCCCCCTCACCCCCCTCAACTTGAGTACTAGGGTTACCAATGCAGTTAGCAGTGGGATAACTTTGATATGTTATTTTGGCGCTGTTCTTTTTTAATAGAGCATATATAGAACATTTCATCATATTAATTGTGGAGGGCATTTAAGCATTTATAGAGATTTTGAAATGCCAAAATTTAAGAGAAAATTACAAATTCAAAGAAACAATAAAAATCTGTTTATTATGTATGAAGTAAAGCTAATGCTGACTCCTCCAGTTCATCAGTCAGTATTGGTTGCCATCCAGGGACTTAGCCATAAAGTAGCTCTAAGCAGTTAAAGGTTAATGAGTCCTGCTTCAGAACATCTCAGTCTTTGGAACCATTAACCGTCCTTAGAACCTGTCACAGTCTAAAGGACCATTAACGTTCTTTAGAAGCTATCACTGCCATTAACTCTAACAGTCCTTAGAGTCATAAACAGTCCTTCAAATTATTAAGGGTGTTTACATAATGTTTGTAGAATCTTTCAGTGGTTGGAAGTAGTCAATCTTTAGAACCATCAGCCGTCCTTAGAACCTGTCACAGCCCAGCAGTTTGGAGGACGTGCTTCATGGCCCATTCAAAATACAGGTAACTATTTCACAAAATAAACAACCATTACTAAAAGCTTACTGATTAAGAGGTTGTACTCTGTATTATAGTACTGTTGTTAGCCATGTCATTTTTTTCTAAAGCCTGTTTCAGTTGTATTAAGTTGGCTCATATGTAATTGTTATAGGTGTTTTGTTTACATGATCAAAGACGAGTAGAGCAACCTAACAATTATTTTCAACTGCTATGCTCTGCTTATATTTAAGTCTGTATTTCTCTACCTGCTATTTATCTGGGGAATAAACCTTTTATCAGTTCTTTTTTTTTCTTTCTTGCAAAATTACTCAGTCAAAATGCATGCTGTGTGTCTTAATTTTGGCACAGATTTTCCAATTGGTTTCGGTTTGCGTATTGACTGGATTACTTTAATAGACGGATATTTTTTAATAAATCACTCTAGTGTACTCAGGCTGTATGTTTATGGTTCTGCTGGAAGGTGAAACTCTGCCCAAGTTGAAATAAGAAAACAAGCTCCACAGCATAATGACTCCACCGCCATGTTTTACAGTGGTGATGGTGAGTTAAAGGTGTTGTATGATGTTAATTTTCCAAAACATGTTACTAGATATGAAGGCAAAAAGAAATGAAAATCATCAGAGAGGAGCACCTTTTTTCACATGTGTTAAGTTTTTTTCACAAAAGCCATGTAGATCACAACACATAGACCTTACAGTGACCTTTCTCTCAGTTAAAAACTGAAACCATTTGCTGTGAATGTTTTATATTATATAGGCAAACACAGCAGTCTTATGCTTTCCAGCTTATATTTCTAATATAATAATAATAATAGCTATTTTGAAAACCAGCACTTCCCCTAAATCATACATTGAAGTTCAAATTCAGTTCAGCACCAATATTCCATCAGGAAATAATAAAAATCCTGGTGATTTATTCATTAATCATACCTGGGAGATCATGTATAAATGCTAACAGAGTCTCAAACTGTTTCAGCCTCCATTTTTAGGACAGGCAGACTGAACAGTTAGGAGTCATCGACAAAGAGCAGATCAAACAAGTCTGCTTAGGAAATTTTTGTTTCCTCTAACAAATTATTTGCATCTGGTATACATCTCTGGATGACAGGGTTGAAGGGGTACCTCAGCATCCTTAATCCTTTCATCATTCTTATTACACCTCCCCCTCCCACCGCCACTACCTTATAAGGGCCAGTTTAAGTTGCTTGAAAAAAATAAATACCTCACACAGAAAAAAAGAAATTCAATAAATGTCGTTCCTATACAGTTTGCAATAGTTTAGTGTCTGGAAACACAAACTATCAGCATTGAAACTAAAACAGGAAGGGCTTGAAAACGGTTTCTTTTTTAGCTCCTATTCTTTGCTGTGCTCTCTTTTGGGAAACCACGCTCCGCTCATCATAGAGTTACCAAAAACACACTCAAAATTACCGTAACATCTACAACAATAGCAAGTATGTTTTTATGTTTATGTGTCTCTGTGGTGACCTTGTAATGCTGAGAAAGCATTGGAGCCCCACTCCCACAATGACAGCACACACATAAACCCCATATGCTCGCACAAACAAATGATCTGTGGCTTCTGGCTGCAGGATGTAAATAAATAATGCAGCTTTGGGTGTGGCTTCTGTGAGGTGTTGGTCTCTGGCACAGAGGAGTGTTCTGCTCTAAAACGGCAGCACTTTGAAGTCGACAGTGAGATGGGATAAGGTTTAAGTATCACCTGAGGGGCTCCTGCAGGACAAACTCAGTGTGGTTTTTCCAGAACTGCAGATATCAAAGAGGGTTAAAAAAAAAAGAACAAAAACATGTTTCACCCTACTTTATAATGATTTATTATGACTAGTAACTTTTGATCTAAAAGGTCTACATGCTGCTGTGAAAATTCTAATCTATTCGGTAAGATTCAACATACTTTTCTGACAATTATAAAAAATAGAATTAACACAAGGAAAAGAGTTGAGTTCTTTCATAAGCCATCTCCTCCATTCTCTCCATTAGATAGGGCTTTAGGTAGCAGAAAGATTACAATTTACCACAAACGTATCAGTCAGTAGAGGATTATATCCAAATTATACAATATTTTGCATGAAAAGACCTAATAATAAATTTGGACAACTATTACTTTACAAAAAGAAAGTTTCTCTAAAATCGATGAACACAAAAGACTAAACTGGTCAGAAGAACAAGAGATGCTAATATAATTTCACCAAAGAGGACTGATGGTTGACAAAAAATTCCAGATTTTGTCCACAGTTTAAGGTAATTTGATTCTACTTTAACATAAAAAATGCTTCAAAAAGTTTAGGAATGTGAGCAAAAATAAAACCAGGTCATTTCATCTTTACTGATTTAAAATTTTTACCCTGTCAACTATTTGTTTTACAGTTTAAAGGTTATATTGCATTTTCAAATGAAAAGGTTTTTTATTGAACAAAATGGTCAAGTTTTTTCCTAGTGCTAAAAACCCCTAAAACGTTAACAAATCTCATAAACACATAGCTGTACTGTGGATTAAAGTTTCATCCTCAAATTATTTTTCCTCAAGCAAAGTAAAAGATGTCGATGAAAGTCGAACAATATAAATGCTAAATAAATAAA